ATCTAACACTTCTCGCCAGACAGTGGCACATACCCACGGGCGGGTATGTTCCACTGGTATGTGAGTATGTAAGGTGATTGACACTTGATCTCTACCCAGGAAAGACAAGAACACACATGGGCAATTTTAACGCGTGTGCATTAAGAAATACCCGTCATCGGTAGCGTCGACCCGATGAGTGCAAAGAATAAATGTCAGGGTCCCAGCTGGAATCAAACCCATGCATTCTGCGTGGCAATGGAGCGTTTTACCACTCAGCTACGCCAGGCCTCGGAAGTACAGTTCAAGTAGGGGCTAATCTTCATGAAACGTCAATTGTGGTTGCAGTGATGTCTACCCAATTTTATGTACTCTTTTGATACAGCCGTCCCGTCAGGTTACGTCAATTATGTTTATGTGCCATGCCCTGAAGTTTATTTACGTAGCAGTGTCTAGGGCCAGCATCCTCGCGAGCATCAGCGCTTCATATCAGCTTCTGGTATTGCCAATGCGCTTGTTCTAGTTGGTATCGTTGCGCAAGTGCAAACAACTGGTTATATGAACACCTGCAACTGTTTAACATATGTCTGTGCGTGCAACATTCATACATATATACAGCGCCACTTGATGACGAGTCGCTCAATGACAAAATTGCAACACGGTCACCTTTTCTGCGCATGCTTCGCATAACGTCGATTCCCAAATACGTGGAACCTGCCGAATTTTTTCGTCGGTTTGTCCGGAACTTCTCTTTCATCATTGCTCCACTCCCCAAGCTCCTTGCTGGCCCTGCGGATCTTTCGAATTAGAGAGCAGCCTGTGACGAATCCTTCGCTACACTGCGCCAACTCCTTACCTCACCACCCGTACTGCGCCATTATGACTCTACTAGCGCCGACCGAAGTACACACGGATGCAAGTGGCGTCGGCCTTGGTGCAATACTCGCGCAATGCAAACTATGTTTCACGGAGTGTGTGGTCGCCTATGCCAGCCGCACCCTCACTAAGGCAGAAGCTAACTATTCTGTTAGCGAAAAAGAGTACCTCGCGATTGTGTGTGTATTAAACACGTTTCGTCCCTATCCGTACGGCCAAACTTTTGATGTGGTAACTGACCACTACGCACTCTATTGGTTCATTTCACTGAAAGATCCTTCTGGTCGCCTTGAACGTTGGGCACTACGCCTCCAAAAATTCGACATTCGTGTCGTCTACCGATCGGGACGAAAGCATTTTGACGCAGATGCGCTTTCACGATACCCTGTGAAATCTGATAAATTGGAAATACCAGCTCTCAATTTTCTTCTCTGCCGTCAGCGTCACACACATACCATCTGGACAGCGGAAGGACCCTTGTCTCGCTCTTGATTCTGCTCTCTGACACATCAACTTTCTGTTACCCGCGTGCTCTTCGCCGCCAAGCAACGCATTCCGCCATGTGGAATGGCCTGCTATGACGTCGCAGCTGTCAAGGGGTGGGTCGTAAATGGCTGCTGCTCATACCCACTCATATGCAGTCTGATATCTGCGAATATTTGCATGCTTAACAGCAACATGCAAACGCAGGTGCGCTAAAGACGTATGAGCAGGTCCTGCCAACGTTACTACTGGCGGGGTATGTACACATTTGTACGCAAACACATTCGCTCAAGTTCTTGTGTTAGCAGCGCCAGACATTTCCTCATTCACCCGGTCAACTGCAGCCTTTACCATGTCCGGCACGCCCATTTGACCGTGTTGGGATTGACCTATACGGCCGTCTACCGTGCTCTGTTGATGGTAATCGATGGGTGATTGTGGCTGCCGACCATCTCACAAGGTACGCCGAAACGGCAGCGTTACCTTCGGCTGGTGCTCGTTGCAACCTTCATTTTGCTTCGGTTCGTTCTCCGTCATTGTGCACCATGGGAGCTACTGAGTGACAGAGGTCGCGTATTTTTTGTCCGAAGTTCTGCAGCAGCTCCTATATTCATGCCGTATGGTACACCGCACATCAACAGCCTACCACACTTAGACGAACGGCCTAACGGAACGTTTCAATAGAACCCTGGGAGACATGCTGGCTATGTATATTAATTCCGACCACTTCATTTAAGACGTCGTCCTTCGTTTCGTGACGTACACTTACAATACGGTGATTATATCAGCAACAGGCTTTTTATGATTTTTTTTATTTGGTCGTGACCCGTGCAGCGCACCCGACACAATTCTGCCATACAATCCTGATGCCTTCGAGTTTAGTCTAGTTTCTGAAATGACCGAACATGCCGAAGAGTGTCGTCAGCTTCCACGGTCATTTACAGCAGATAATCAAGCCCTCCAAAAAGATCGTCACGGCCGTGATCTTGTTCAGGACACTTTCCTCGTCGGTTCTCTTTTGTGGCTCCGACTGCCTTTCCACTATCCTGTACCGACTCCCAAGTTTGCACGGAAGCATACTGGCCCTTACCGCGTCATACAGCGCCCTTCTTCTGTGACCTATGTGATTGAACCGCTCAAGCCGTCCACGTACAAGCACCGCCTTGGTCGTGAGACGGTCCACGTCAGTCGCCTGAAGGCCTGCTGCAACCCTCCTGTTCTCTCGTCACCTTGAGTCGCCAGGATGGCTCGTCTTCATCTTCGGGTTATGGTAGTAGGCAATTCGCAATGACAAGTAGGACCTTCTCTTAGTGCGAAGTGTGAGAGTGTGCACGAGCTGTGGATGCTGGACTGCTCGAGTATTTTTGTCCCTACCGGCTGTCTGCTTACCAATATTGCGAAAGGCTTCAATGCAGCGTCGCGTTGAACCCACTGCTAAAAACCGGGGCCAGACGTTTCAGCATTCACTGGTTAATCATCCGTATGGAATTCTTGGGAGGTGATTTTAGGGTTGAAGATCCTTAAGCCGTATGGCTGTGCCTCCTAGATAAGGTTCGTGACCGCATAGTTCTATGAATCACCCATGAGGTGCGGACAGGCAGGCAAATGGACGGGCGGGCGGGAGGGGGCGCCGGACGGACGGACAGACGGACGGACAGACGGACAGACAGATGGACAGACAAACAGACAGACAGACAGACAGAAAGACAGACAGACAGACAGACAGACAGACAGACAGACAGACAGACAGACAGACAGATGGACGGACGAACGAACGGACGCTCGGGCAGGTAGAAGCACGAGCAAACTGACCGATGGAAGCAGGGATGAACGGACGGACGAACTAACGGACACGCGGACAGATGGACAGATGAACGTTTTGCCCCACTCATCACCATTCACTTCATGGTCATTGTGTGATTTTTAATGAATTTACGGAATGACTAAATACTCTGCACGCTTTAAATAATCAATTCTAAGCGTTCTGTCATATTATGTTGTTGTAGCATGCAAGATAGTTCTCCACTGCTAAAATATTTTAGGGACTATTTATTCTGCTCACACGGTCCTGAATAAACGAAGGCTCTACCTCTGACAGCACTGCCAACAGCTTGCAAAACGATGTATAGAGCAGCGTTTCTACTATCAGTGCTGGGTAAGACCGATTTCGAATATTCTGGTAAGGTACAAGCCTTAAATGCCTTGTCAAACGCAAAAGTTGAGTGTCGTCTTCTTTGAGCGTCCACACAAGTTTTACGAAACGTCCTCAGGTGATGACTTCACGATATGACATCATATGCATGAAAATTGCGAAGCTATTACGACGTCAGTGTGACGTGATGAGCTCAACACATGAATCGTAGCTGGGCGAATGATAGACGGATGACAGAGGCAACACAAAATCAGAGGAGTATATGCCAAGGCGCATCATATTGTTGCAGGATGTTTTCGGAGGTTAACGGGGCCAAATCAGTACATGACTGCAATAGTACCCCGTCAGTTTCTTAACATCGATGCTGTTCAAGTTAGCCCTAATTTGTGCATCCAGCCTGTCAGAAATCTAGTGCCGTAATAAGCAGCGAATCGCCATGATGGTTGGATATATGCCACAACTGACCATTGTACCACTAAAAATAAAAAAAGGCAAGAGTCAGTCGAACGATTGGCTGCGAAGCGATTGCAACGAGCCGAAGACCCCGAATATGCATAACTAGGTAATGCTGTGGAAAGAGAAGAGAAAAGGCACCAGCGAAAACACCTCGGGAGTGATGGAACATCGGCGCCAACGTCGACGCACCCGTAGATCTGTGTCAGGCGTGGCCACCTGGTTCCAGCATAAGTTTGCATTGCTGTGGTTTGAATGCTGGTGTCGTGTGTGACCGTCTCTGGCTTAATCGGAACCTCTAATGCATGAGAATCATAGCAAACACCTCATTTAAAGCCTTGTAAAGACGTAAAAGCAACGAAAGTAGTTTTCAGAACCGTCCCGCTTCTCAGTTTCAAGCCTAGATGCGACTTTGTTTATTCACCACCGAAATATTGTTTTTTTTTCATTTCGTCATTAAGTTGTCATGGTGTTCACGATTCATAACAACGGTGGCTTTACATCAATTGATGGTAACTAATCGTTAACAAACATGTGGGGCTATAGAGTTTGCGTTTGACTTTGTTTCGGGTGACAATTATACGCTTTATGTTGTACAACCAACGAGGCCTTGTCTTTACGGCGCTTCATTTTCAGTATTAGGCAAACAGTTTATTATCAGCCAATGTGTTTGGATTTTGCACGCAAATAAATTACTAAAACTGCTGTTGCTGTATGAGAACACGTGTCAAACACCAAAAAATAGGAACTCCTTCCTTGCTCGTTCCGTTGTAATAATCAAAAACAGCTCGTTCGCGCTTATCGAAACTTGATACCTGCTCAAGTGGAAGGACATACCCGAAGTGGCTAGTGGTGAAACAATAATAACGTCGAACTGCTGCGCAAGGAGGAAATGTGTTTCTAGATGAACGGTTAATGTAGGTGCTGCGTACGCGTTGCTATTATCAGACCAGCAGTGCTGGCCACACCATAGATATCTCAGTACGTAGGCGCTTTTTTATTGCTGTCGGGAAGACCAGAGCGTGGCGTCTCCGTATAGCAAGAACGCTGGTCAGTCGTACGTACAAAGGTCTCGCACGGGCGTTGGCAGCTAAAATGGTAGGTATTCAACTTCTTTCTGTACGTCGAAACTATTTCTCTAAGACGAAATTTTCACACTGCACAATTTCAAAGTTTTGACGCTTCTATCAAGATTTGGTTTCAAAATAAACTAACGGTAATGCATAGTTAGGACGGCCTTCGTATGCGTAAGCATTGTGTAAGCTTAGCATCGTGTGACACCTGGATGCTATTTTATTCTTCCTCCACGCTATACGAAGAGCGAATCAGTTCTCAGCAAACAGCAGGTACTTTGAACGCTTTTATCTATCTATCTATCTATCTATCTATCTATCTATCTATCTATCTATCTGTCTATCTAGCCGCCTGCGTGTAGGTGCTCTCGGAATGAGTTTCTTAATTTGAGGCGTATATAATTTACAACGGGATAGTAAGAGAATTTCACAAATATATCTGGCTTGTCAGAAAATGTATACTTTGAGAGTATCGTGGCGTACGTCGTCAAACACTTTCCTCCGCACACAGGTGGTGATTGCCCATACACAAAGAGCTGCGGTATGTGGGTATGCGCTGCAAGTGATTGGCGGTTCATATCTACACGGAGACGCCAAGAATAGATATTGGTAACTTAATTGTGAGAGCGTAAAGAGAAATTACATTGGATGCGTTAGCCCGAAAAGTACAAACAATAATAATCATTGCCCTAGCAGGAATTGAACCTAAGCACTCTTTGTGACAATCAAGTGTTCAGATGACTATCGATTATGAGATGACTAACTTCACCACAAAGTGACATGTGCCACAGAAATTGGGTAAACCGCTCAACTCACGCACTGGCCCAATAAAAACGAAGGAGGCATAAGTTACACCAACAGAAAGATTAGTGCTACTGAAATGTGTAAGGCCTATTAGAAAGTTACTTTATCAAACAATTGGCAGATACCCAATACAGTGAGCATTTATGATATGTGGAGAACTATTGAGAAAGGTTTCTGTGTCATTTTAAAATCACACAACGTTACGAGGCGGAGGTCGAATATGCCGCGCATGACTTCCATGTCATGACTATCATGTTTGAACGTGTCAATTACCTTTGTCATTTATTTCCGTCTTAGTATGTCAAATTTGGTATATGTGGAGCTAGCGAAACGGCGGACAGTGTTCTATGAGCGTAGCATGTAGTCAAGCTTTATATGACACGCATTTCATGATTATCATGTTTAGGCCTGTCAAATACAGTCGTTGTCAATTCGCATCACTTAATACCAAATTTCGTATATGTAGAACTAGTGAAACGGCTGTGAGCAGCTATGAACGTAGCATGTAGTCGTGCTTTACATCACACGCATATCATTATTATCATGTGTGTTACCTTCGTGGTTTATTCACTTCACGTTATACTAAATTTGGTATATGTAGATCAAGCTAAACGGCCGCGAGTGCATCATGAGCGTGGTAAGTCGAGATGTTCTTGCATGACGCGCGGGTTATGATTATCTTGTTTGCACGAGTCACGTACCTTCGTCATCCATTCACGTGACGTAATACCAAACTTGGCATATATGAAGCTAGCGAAACGGCCGTGAGCGCATCATGAGTGCAGCATGTAGTCGTGTCATGCCATTATTACATGCCATTATTATCAAAGATGCCATTATTATCATGTTTCGACGTGTCACTAACTTACATCGTCCGTTCGTGTCACGTAATACCGAATTTAGTGCATGTGAAGGTAGCGAAATGGCCGCGAGCGCATCATGAGCGTACCAGGCAGTATTGTTGTTACATGACAGGCATCTCAGGATTATCATGTTCGCACCAGTCACATACTTTCGTCATCTGTTAATGTCCCGTAATATCGAGTTTAGTATAGGCGAGAGCTAGCGAAACGGCCGCGAGTGCATCAAGAGCGTGGCAGGTAGTGATGTTGTTAAATGACACAGATCTCATGATTATCATGTTTGTACCAGTCACATACGTACCTTCGTCATCTGTTACCGTCTCGTTATACCAAATTTGGTATTATGAAGCTGGCTAAATTCCCACGCACGCATCAGCATCATGAGCGTCGCATGAAGTGATGGTTTGTACATGACATGCAACCCATGATTATCATGTTTGAATCAGTCACATACCTTGGTCATCCATTCCGGTCCCGTAATAGCAAGTTACGTATATGTGAAACTAGCGAAACTGCCACGAGCGAATTATGAGTGTCATGTAGTCATGTTGTTACATTACACACATATCATGATTTTCATGTGGGGGTCTGTCACTTGTCTTCGCCATGCAGTCATGTCATACCATACCGGTTTTGCAACACATCATTTGAACGAAACCACCACAAGAGCAGCAAGACCATGAAATGTAACTTATAACATTCATGACATACATTTCAATATTTTCATGTCATGAATAATTAGTCATGCTCCTTATACAGTCATGTTATGCCACACCAAGTTTGGTATGGATACCTTCATCGAAACGGCCAGGAGAGCTAAAGTCGTAGGCGGCTAGACAGACAGACAGACAGACAGACAGACAGACAGACAGACAGACAGACAGACAGACAGACAGACAGACAGACAGACAGACAGATAGATAGATAGATAGATAGATAGATAGATAGATAGATAGATAGATAGATAGATAGATAGATAGATAGATAGATAGATAGATAGATAGATAGATAGATAGATAGATAGATAGATAGATAGATAGATAGATAGATAGATAGATAGATAGATACGCTCAAAGTCACTACAGTTCGCTAAGAAATGGTTCACATATATAACGGGTATGGGCCACAGAACAACTGTACATAATTCACTAAGGGAGGAATGCAACACGTAACCAAACACTAGGGAACAGGAAAGGCGCTGGTAGCTGCGAGAACACCCCGAAGCGCTGGAAAGCTTATGCCAAAGACGTTCCCGTATCGTTTCTTGTGTAACTGGTCATTTGTGTTCATCATAAGCCTCTCTGGGATGACTAACAACGAAAAAAGGAACTGAGCAAAATAGTGAAAATCTGCCACACGCCACACTAAGACACAACAAAGAAGTTCACAGGAACCAGCACTGCAAGTTTTCCAATATGCAGCCAAACAAACTACCGCTCCTGTTTAACCTATCAACACCTCACTAAAGCACCAAACTGCGACCTAAAAGCATCCTACAAACAACCTCCGTCACCTTGCTTAGGTGCAGGATCAACATTGATGCATGCACATTAGTCTTCAGAATTGTCCAGTTTCGCTGCTTCAAGGCTTGCCCGGCTCGCGTAGGCTTCATCTTTTTTTCGTCTGATTACTGATTTCAGATTTCACATGATAGCTGTCAGAAACGGTGGCGGTTGTGGTGGCGAAAGGCTACGGCACTGTCCTTGTGATCGCAGAACAGCTTCCGCTATAATAAATTAGATTCACACATGCTGGAACGGCCAAATAACAATGGCTTGAAGCTGACTTCTTTGTACATACTCGGAATGTCGGCAATAGCTTTGTTGAGATTACTTTGGCGGTTGGTGAAAAGTGGTTTTCAGACAAGCTGTTTCGCTGATCAAAATACTTTATAAGCGTGGCCATCAAATAGCACCTGTGACTGTTACTATGACTGTCGATGCTCTATGCCTGAGAATGATAATTTCAATAAAGAATCATGTGGTGTCCAATGTGGTAACTCAAGCAAAGCTTTTGTTACCGCGTTGCGCGTAAGGTAATTGGTAGAGACTATTGCCTATTTCTTTCTCTTATACGAAGTCAGAAATGGTGTGAGAAGGTCCAGTGTATTTGGCTAATATGCACCATGGACACAAACTGGTTCAGAAAAATCTAGCTGCGCATGCAATGTTTCACAATAGGTGGAAGCCTCGGTCAATGGCATTTCGTTTGAATGCTTGTCAAGTAGCGCGTGCATTTGAGGTGACCGGGCGTTGTGTCACCATGGCAAGCACTTACCATCTTTTCACGAATAGCCCTGTCGTATACACGTTTATTCTTCTTACGTTTTTCCCACGTTCAACCATTAATCACCGGGAAGCTACCTCGGCATGCACTGAATTAGGTTTGAACCTTCTTTATCGTCGTAGAACAGCGATTTCGCTCTCCTTCTCCATGGCTATACCATGTAGCACCGTGGCAGATGCGACCGAAGAAGAAAACAGTGTGGCTTGAGGTGAACGAGCGATGAGGTACGATCAGAATTGGTCTGCTGTGGCTGTGACGTCTCTGTTCTTATATTTGCAGACCACAGAGGAACGCTCGGTGGCGGCTGCTCCAGCGCGCCTGCGGTTTGCCAAGTGACGTCACTGCTACTCGTGCATGCGAACACCGCATAGGCATCTGCACTATGCGGGACATCACGGGCCCGAGCTAATGGGGGGCTTCGACTCCCTTTCTTGCCTAGTCCTGCATGGCTGAGCCGTGTCTGGGGAAAAGAGGTTCCTGGGGGTGGAGGAGGTGCCCGGGGAGTGGCGGAGGCGACACACCGCTTTGGCCTCGACTTCACGTAGGTGGCACTTCTGGGCTGACCCACTTAGGCGAAATCGGCAGACATCTTTTCCTGTCTCTCTCTTCCCCTATCTTCGTATTTCTGTGACACTTCTTTTGTTTTTTGTCTATCTTGCCTTTTCGTTTTATTGCCATTTTTTCAGGCGGCAAGGATTACACTTGTGTAGCAATAACCAACCTACTTTTTTATATATGGTTCTAGCCGCTATGTACAGCTGGTCTTTCGTGGTTCCTTCGTGTTGCGTAGCGTCCCCTTGGTAGGCTCGGTGGTGGGCAGCTGTCATGGCTGTCGAAAACAATCACACACCTACAGCTCCGCAGGTTTCCCTCAAGCTTTGCTATCGCCATCTTGCAAAGAAGGGCACAGCCGAATAAATTCACGACTTGTTAACCAAGCTGAGAGCAATTTTCGCGCGTTTTCACGTGATCCGTTGAACTCCCCTCGAAAAGGCAGTAAAACACTTTCTAGTTTTACGCTAGTGATGTCCCCGTTGAAATAATCAGAATAAGTTACAAGGCCATAAATGTGGCCAGCGGTGACCAGCTGCTTGAGGTACGCGACCATGCGCAATGTGCAGAGCTTTCAATCCACGTGGCGTTTGTTGCTGTTGCAGTTAATGTGACTCCCCACCAATCGATGAAACAGTACAGAGAATGATTGCCGATGCAGAGCTGCTCAACTTGAGTGAAAGAGAGCTCCTTATAGAATACAAATGGCGGAATGTTACTGAGATAGAACTAATGAAGATTAAACGTAACAAAGAAATACCAACTGTACTCTTGAACATTCATTACTTTTTTTCTCTTGTGGGCTACGAGATTTTCTAGTAACCAGGAACACAAAAAGAGCACTTCGACCATACATGCCTATTGACGTAGATGTCTTCAATTTCAGTGGTTTGGGCACATATCTCAGCATTGTAGATGCAGATAAACGTTTGCTAAATGTGGCAACCATGAGGACACTACAGACGTATGTGACGGCCCGCTCCACTGTCTCAAATGTGATGATGAACATGCAGCATAATCTAGAGCTTGTCCTAGACGAAAAAAAAATGACATTATCACTTTGAAAATAAATTAAATTGTATGTTTCTATGAAGCACGTAAATATGTCTCATTCCTGCATTTCTCCAGATATGCTGAGGTGGCGCATAAGTGAGAAGCGCCGAGTCCTGCTCCGGCACCAGCCCGGCACCGGCTCAATGCGGCCTTTTTTAAACAGCCTTTTCTACCCTCGGAGAACGTAGCAAATGTGAATTCCTCCTCTATGTAGGACCCAACAACATCTGGGACCTCGGACCCGTCAAGTTCTGAAGCAACACAATTGGCTCCTGCTTGTGCTGGCAACAATCAGCTCAGTATGAACCAAAAGGCGGCACTGTCCACAACTGCGTTGGTGAGTGGAAGTCTCTTCTTCGTGGTGAGACTTTTACGGACGATGTCTCGCTCGCAAGAGCATATGTTCGGCGCCACACAGGAGGCAATGAACACCACAACTAGCTTGAATGCAATGCCTGCGCTAAAGGAGTGGCGTGATGCTAGCGACCACTCCATCAAAGACTAATTCTGCAAAACGGGGCCTGGAAAGTGCCCTGTAAGGCAGCAGAAGAAAGCATAAGAGCGGTTGTATTGGCGGATCATGGAAGAGGTCGATGCTCTGCAGGGGGGTTGTCAGGCTGATGGTGATATTGATGATGATTGGAAACGATATCCAATCCTCACTTACGTAACATGGGCAGAGCTATCTGTCCTAAACATAGTTGCTGCAGTTAGCTATATTGAAGGATTGTTGTTGATGCCACGTCTAAATGCATTCCTCAAGTGAATGGCACTATTAGCAAACAATGTGTACTGAGCTGAAATGACGACTGTCGGAAGCGTGGAAAGAAAGCATGGGGTCTGCTTTACGATTCACCAACGGCAGAGGATCCCATTTATTTCAAGCTCGTTAAATCTCAGGGGAAAAAAAAGGACAGAGAAGCACGACGAGGAAATCGGCATACGAGACAAAAGTATTAAACAGGGTGAAAAAGTTTCTGGGCTTCAAAGATTTTAACTTCCATTAGTAAATAATAAAAAAGAAAGCTTAGAAGACCATTAATACTCCCTAGGCGCGCATTAAAAAGCCTCTCCAACTCTTCGCACTACTCTATTGCGTTAAGAAGTTGCGAAATACGGATAAAAAAGTTGAACTAAAACGAAAGTGCGCAAGAAGCGAATCACATAAGCAACAATTATGCATAGCAGAGTTCAAGGCGGCGCCAAATTGCTGCAACAAATGTGCCCCTGGTTCTGACCGTATAATATAACATATGTTGAAACACCTGCCTCTTGAGACCCGAAATTCTCTCTTTCACTGTATATTGCTGCATGGTGTTGCCGCAAAATCCCTTCTGTTTTAAAAAGCAACCGCAATTCTTATTCTGAAACAAGGAAACTACCCTTCCTTGGTTTTAAGTCATAGGCCGGTAGCATTAACAAGCTGCCTCTGTAAGCTACTACAAAGGATGTTTACCGACGGTTACTACATTTTTTGCAGCAAAATAAATTACTCGACTCACATAAATGCAGCTTTTCAAGAAATGTGGTGCACAACTGACTTCCTTGTACATATTGAAAAAGAACAATATTTGTGGTACCTTTGTTGACAAACAGTTTTAAATGCGAAGTATTCTTTTAATACTAGAAACACTTTCGGAATCTATCTGCGTATCTATTCATCTATCTATCAAGCTGCTATAGTGCCATTAGGGGTGACACTATAGCGGAGGTGATCATTAGGGGGTGACACTAGCTGCTCTAGTGTCATCCCCTAATGTAGCGGGAAGCAAAATTAGTATGGGAGGGCAAGATGGTTTGACAAATATGACGCGCTGGTGAGGTCATGAATAATGTCACAATCTCGTCGTGTACATAGTCAAACGCTTCTCTCCAGAAAGTGGCACACACCCGCTGGTGGCTATGTGTCAATGGTAGGCGGGTTTGTGCCATTGGTTATGAACGCTTAGTACCTACCCAGGAATGGTGAGAACATACATGAGTAAGTTTAACGCACGAGTTTTAAGAAAAAGCTAACAGTGGCAACGTTGACTAGACGAATGCAACAAATAACTGTCAGGGTCACAGTAATAATATATTCCAAGCATTCTGCGTGTCAATAAAAATTCTACCACAGAGCTATAGTGTACGTACTACCAGGTCTCGGTAGCACGTGCCTTTTTATAAACTCTAATCTTTGTAAAACGTCAATTCTGGTTGCAGTGCTGGCTATTCACTTTTATGAGCATTACACATTTCCTCCTATGATACAGTCGTCACATCAGTCTAACGTAAGTTGTAGTAGGATTCCATTAGCTCAAGCTGATATATGTAGCAGTGTCCAAGGCTACCATCCTTGCGAACCCCAGCGCTTCAAATCAGCTTATTGCTTCTGGTGTTACTATTACAGATGTTCCTGCTGGCATTGTTGTAAGTGCAAACAACTTATACAAGCATCGGTTACTATTCAACATATATGCTTGTGTGTGCAACAAGCTGTACCTATATTTAGCGTTATATGATAACGTGTCGCTCAATGACACAACATGGTCACCTTCCCGCCGCATGCTTCGCATAACGTCGGTTCTCGAAGCACGTGAGATCTGCTTAATTCTTACCCTCTATGTTCATGGATACGAGGAAAATGTACTGACATAATATGGCCGCTAAAAGTTTTGAAAGATCTTTCAGCATTGGGTGAAGGCGGTAGAATGGTAAATATAATTTAGTGTTACCTGTTGAGTAGAACATTCGTGTAGGAGTGGACAACGTTATATCCGGCCAATTTTGCATGAAACCGGAATGCCACAGGGTGGGTCTTCAGTTGTATGGTTTTCGTTATCGAAATGAGTTCGTTTCGTGTGTGCCCAATGAGGATTTAAATTGTGCCATCTCGCCTTTTTTGAGCGGCACGTCCAGCTTGCTTTGAACAAGGTATCCAAATGGGAGACAATAAAGCTAAATTCACAAAAGAGCACCTGCATTTCTTAAAGAAAATGCCTTAATTGTGATCCATAAATTAACGCACATTGATCAAAGTTACCTGTGAAGCGGATCATAAATGCCTGTGCCCGAATTTGAACAAGAAGCTTGCCTTTGTGTCACGCAATAAAACTTTTAAAGGGGCATTGTAACACTTTTTTAAGTAACCATGAAATGAATTCACTGGAAGAGCTCATTGCCTTACAAATTCAACACCGCAAAAACTTTAAGTATCCGTCCAGCGCGAGTTGAGTTACAAAGGTCTCTCGCATGCTGCAAGTGCATTTTCTTTTCTCTCGTCCCGAGGAAAGTGCCTAAAGCTAAGCAGGGAGAGATGGCAGGCCCACAGAAAAACGTCACACGCGCTTCTCCACCTTCAGCACTTTTTTTTCTTCGAATACCCCACTTTTTCAGTATGATCGCGCGCGCACGCGTGGACAAGTAACCGCCTCCTGTGGCAATCTCTGTAGTGAACAAGCACGCCATGTTCACATCAGCCAATGGCTGATAGACTGGTCACTGACTTGTGATTTTTGGGCATATAACGTGAATTGTCGAGAAAACAGAAAGCAACCTTTCAGGTGACTTTGATAATTTATTGTGAATGCTAGGCCGCATGCCGTGCTATAATATTTGGCTGGCGCGTTGTCGGGAGCCTCTACTACCAATCGGCAGCGTTTTTTGACCATGCTCAGAAAGTGTTGCAGGGCCCCTTTAAAAACAAATGTATGAGAACCGTGAACATTGTAAAGGTATTCTCACGCACAAGTTAGGGTTAGGCTTAAAAAGTGTATCGTGTACTTGTAGAAAAGCCTCGTACGCACACTGTATACACTACGGAGCCATTTTATATCAGTTAGCCAGCCCAAGTGTTTCGAAGATATTGAACCCTGCCCAACATCTGGGTATTCGGCTCTGTGGAGGCGAACTTCGAACTAGCCCCGTCGAAAGCTTAATATAGAATTAAACGAATGCTCTGTCTACCTGCAAAGGACGTACTCGAATTTTGTGTACTTGCTGAATGCGAACTGCTGACAATGAACACCACACATGCTCAACCATAAACTATTTCTTCTGTTCCAACTTTTTTCACAACTGACCTGCACTGATACGGCCCTTCTCACTCAGTGTGAGGGGCCTAGTTGAGGAAACTGCTATCCCACTCCTTAAACACCACCTAATGACCTCAGGCAAACCACTGCCACTAGACAAATGGTAGCTTATAGACTGTGATACATTGTTCATAGATGCTCCTCCTGCACGAATTCGCATGTATTTCTTGAGTGCTTGTTTGTGTCTTTTCTCTTACGTCGCGTGACTTTGTGAGATGGTACTGCCCATACTGTATCACCAACTAGCCCAACTATCAGTTCTCTTTCTTGAGTTAAAGCATAAATACGATTATTCCAGAGTTTTACATTGACGCCTCTAGAACACATGGCGGTGTTTCTTATGCCGCGGTCATCCAATTTTTTGCAAATTTAGGCGTGCTGCACGCCGCAACAAGCATATTCACAGCCGAATCCTATGCAATATTGATAGTTCTTAGACAGATAAGGTAAACAAAGAAACCGAAATCTGAAAAAATAACTCTGTACGTCGGTCACCGTGCTCTCTTCCTTGCACTGTCTTTGCGACCAAGCGACACATTGTTTTATGCTGGGTGCCAGTACACCTTGACATTGAAGGCAATGAGCTGGCGGATAGGCTTGCCACATTCATTCACACAAGAGCTGCAACTCGTCGATCTCTGTTCCTGTCTTAAAATTCAAGCGTATCTACGTAGGAGGCTCCAAATTTATTGGCGGCGTTTGTGGGACGATCAGACGAGTAACAAGCTTCATCGTATTAAGCCACGCATTGGGCACTTGGTGTCAGTTAGAAAATCGAGACAAATAAAACTCCTACTCTCTAGACTTATAATAAGGCATTATTATGGCACCCATTGTTTATCTGTTGAAGGAGGATGACCTTCAATGTGTAGTAGAGGAGAAGAAACTTTTCGTGTACTTTACATTTCGCTAATGTGAAAAGGATTGCAAAGTCCCTGGAAGAAGCTCTTCTCTAAGGCTCGTCTTCAGCACACCCCATTCCATTCATCGATGTGTTTAGGCAATGCAGCAGTTTTCTATCCAAAAACAATTTTCAGTTTTTTTTAAAACACACTGCAGTGTTACAATTTATTGATGCCAGAAACTAGTGTTATCTACACTTTAAGAGAAGGTTGCTGCGAGACTATTGTTTGAATGCACCCACCTTGACAGTCTTACTTGCAAGGGTCTTTAGAGGCTGCGGGTGGCTTTTAATAGTCTCCGCCAGTATAAGAATTTAGATTGATGTTTATATTCAGTGCACGTTATTTATACCATTGCCACA